GTGGAAGCTTAGATACTTTTTTGAAATTCTTTCTAATTTGGTCTTGAGGTCTCTCTCTGGAGAGTGGCTATAACATGCATCCTTGCTGTAATGGGACTCCCTGATGGTTATGGATGTTTACAATGTACATTTCATGGGACACTTCTTTATCCTGGGGGATGGATGGCCTAATGCCTAAGTGTCTGACCCATGCCCAGGTGTCCCTTTCACGGTACACTTGTTTTACTGGTAGACACCCTGTGGTTCCTTGTTGACCTGTGTCTAGTTTATTCCCACCAAGATAGCCTTTCTCTAGGAGAACCCTGACCAGGAGAAAAGTGTGAGTGTGTCAGCAGATGAAACACAAGAGGAGGCAGCACAGCAAATCACATCACCTAACAGAAGCGGTTTGATTCCTTGACAGAGCCCAGAAAGAACAGGGCAGCACACCTTGCAGGGCCATTTGGGACACACATGCTCAACCAGCGGGTGGGGGCAAGAGAGAGGCAGATACAGAGGACTTGTGGGATTAAAGATTTATTGGGGTCCAAAGTATTATCCAGACAGGTTTCCTATGGGGAGTTTTCATTGGTGGGTTTAAAGCGCGCAGGCATGAGTTCTGTGGGGCCACGTTGTGACTGAGAGATGGTTACTGTGACATTTCCGTGCAATCTATGTGGGGTGTAGGGGTCAGTGGGGCATGTCCCTGGGGCTGTATTTAGCTTCCCCATAGGGAGGTGGTCAACCAGAGGCACTTGTATTGGGGGCTATCTAGATCAACCACATTTGAGGAACTGGGAAGAGGTAGATAAATGGAAACTGTGTCAAGTGTGACTAAGCCCTGCTCTGGCATGAGAAATTTCAACTTATATTCAGAATTGATGCTGAGGTAACATAACACTATAGAATTCACTACAGTCATTGATTTGAAACCTTCAGTCTTTTCTAATATATTTAATGCTCTACATATCCCTCTAAGCACTGCTTGAGCTGCTTGCCTCAGGTTTTGGTATGTTATGTTTTAGTTTTAATTCAATTCAAAATGTTTATTAATTTCTCTTTTGACTTCCTTTTTGAACCATGGAATTAGAAGTATGTTACTTATTTTCAAATATTTGGGAATTTCCAAATATATGTGAATTTTCTATGCACATTTGAAAAGAAAGTATATTCTGCTGATGTTGGGTGGAACATTCTATAAATATTAACTAGCCCAAGGTGGTTGATAGTGCTATTCAGGTCTTCTGCATCCTGTATTCAGGATGATAGTGACATTAAGTGGAGGAAGGTGAGGATCAAATTTGGATGTTGGATCATACTTGGATGTTGGATTATTGGCTTACTTTCAGTAATGAGCTTAATTATTACATTTTTGTACATTTTAAAAATCCCACAAATAAGGCATGAACCAATGGTCAGAGTGTGTTATGAGCCAAGGATTATGATTACTATTTCTCAGAAAAGAAGAAAAAAGAGATTTAACTTTTCTTTCTTGGTGCTTTACATTTTGAATTTTTCACTTTGTGATAAACTTATTAATTTGGAGCCGGAAAGGAGGAGGGACTATCCCTTGATATTGGACTCTGAATTTCCCTAAAAGAGTCCCCCAAAAGAATCTGCTTGGAGTTAGAGGAAAAAAAACAAGGCCCCGGGGTTGCAGACTGGTGAGCTGGCAGGAAAGTAGAGGAAGGTGAAGTCAGAGAGGTGGGCAGGGCCAACTTGTGTCCAAACTGCAGGCCGGGATAAGAGATTGGGGTGTTATTCCAACTGTAATGATAAGCACTGGAGGGGTTAGAGTAAGAGAGTGACAAGATCAAATCTATATTTTAAAATGCTCACTGTGCCTGCTATAGAAGAACCATGACAGAGGGGCAAGGCCTCAGGTTATTCAAGGAGGACGCTGCTACAATAGTCCAGGTGAGAGGGAGTAGGTAGTAACTTTGCAGGTGGAGAGATGTCATACTCTTCAGGATGTATTTTGGAGTTAGGTCATGAATGAAAGAGCAAAAGAACTGACATCGTCACTGTCACCATCACCACCATCACCTTTTCTAATATGTACTGAGTGTTATTTTGGTGCCAGACATAGGATGACTAAGCATTTCACAAGCATAATATCTTTTAATCCTCAAAGCAATCCCTGTGTCGTAGGTACTATTAGCCCCATTTTACACAGAGAAAATGGAGACTTAAAGAAGTTAACTTGCTTAACTTCTTTGTTTGTTGGTTTTCAGATTAGTTATAAGGCAGAATTTTGATTTTTAAGTTTAGAAAAAATTTTAATGAATGTGAACTAAATAAGGCACAAAATAGATGGAAATAGAATAGACAAACATCAGGAAAACTAGAGAGTTATCGTTGTTAAGATAGAAGTATTTTTATTGTAAGTTTCAACCTGCTATCTTTGGGTTACTATAGAGTATATGAAAACCAAGAGATACCATCACTAAAGAATCCTACTTGGCAGCTCTTGCAATGTGGGGGGGAGTGGGAGCAGGAAGGAGAACAATTTTCCCTCTTTTCTGTTACCTTCCAAGTAGAAGGAGTTTAATTAATAAACGGGTTTCCATCTGTCACTTTACTCATTCCGTGCCAGGTAAGGATGTGTGGCATCTGCAGCACATTTCAAAAGCATAGTCTGGGCATGTTCACCTTTTCCTTTTTGAGACCCAGCCTGAACACAGAGCATGCATTTCCCCTGTTTTTTTCCTAGACAGGCCTTTTTTTCCCACCAAGAGCCCAGTGCTGCCAGGATAGGCTGCCATGTCTGTCTTCTGGTGGGAGGGCTCAGTTAGAATCCATTTTGCTCCTACTCTAAGCTTTCCTCCATTCTCTGTCCTGGCCTTGCACGCCAATAAAGGTGGCATTTGGGCCTCTACTTGTCTTACCCCTTGTGCTGTTTTTCATTTGGTTTGACATTCAGTTGGGGTAGAAAGGCATTTCTATTTGATTTCTCTCAGAGACACCCCACTCTCTCCAACCAAGAAGAAAGGTAGGTCTTCATACATTAGATCAGTTGATGAGGAGATTTAGGTCAAGAGTGATCCTGATTCTTGATACCACCCTGGGCAGATCTAGCCATTTTGGGAAAAGAGCCAAAGGTTTTTACAATATTGACGATTAATACTGGAACATTTAGGGGGATTCCTAGTACTTTAGCTGTGAAAGTGGAGGCAGCAGTTGCTATGGAAATGTGACAAGTTAAAATAACAACTTTAAGTGAGCATGGAGAAGCAGTGAGGGTAAGACCGATGATTACGTGCTCTGTGTAACTACTCATAATGAATGTTGAGTGCTTCATTTTCCTGATGAAATTATTAAACACAATTTTTTCTTTGTCCAAAATGAGTGAGATTTCTTTCTTTTGAGATGGAGTCTCGCTCTGTCACCCAGGCTGTGGACACGATCTTGGCTCACTGCAAGCTCCGCCTCCCAGGTTCACGCCGTTCTCCTGCCTCAGTCTCCCGAGTAGCTGGGATTACAGTCGCTGCCACCATACCCAGCTAATTTTTTGTATTTTTAGTAGAGATGGGGGTTTCACTGTGTTAGCCAGGCTGGTCTCGAACTCCTGACCTCGTGATCCGCCCGCCTCGGCCTCCCAAAGTGCTGGAATTACAGGTGTGAGCCCCCGCGCCTGGCCTGAATGAGATTGCTTATCCTCTCACTCTAGCTGCTGCTTGGTGCAGTGATTATTTCTTCTCACCTCTATTCCAAGGTAGAACTAAAGAAATAGTCTGTGTTGCCATATGATCTTACTAATACTCAGAGCTGATCTTTAAAATCCGCTTATTATAATTAAACCTCTGTGTGGGATCTAGGGGGAGTTCACAAAGCTGTTCTTTGATGCTCTTTGTAAAATTCCTGGAAGGGAGGTATAATTTTAAGATGCATATTAAAAGTTGTTCTCCAGGTGTTCTTGAGCTTGGCTGAGAATCAAGCAAAGGGAAATAAGCTTCTATTTCAGTAGGGACCTTTGAGTTCTAAGAAAAGAAAGAGACTTTTTCTCACTAGGAAAAGAAAGATAATTTTTCTCACTGCAATGTGAGAAATGTGTTAGAATCTCCTTCCCTGGAGAGATTTCACAGCTGGGTAGATGGACCAGATCTGTGTTGTCTATGAGTTCAGTGGGGAAACAGTTGATCTTTGGTGATGCAGAATGGCAGAAGTGACTCTTTCAGCCCTTGCATTCCACAGTAAAATGAAAAATCATCAGGATTATTTCAAGATTATTCAAATATAATATGTAAATGATTATAATGTATAAATATAAAAATTCCTACCAAAATAAGCATGCAAAATCTCAGACACTTTATATTATTTAGACTTTATCGCTTAAAGGACTTTGCGGTAAACCAATTTTTTCCTTTGAATTAAAAAAAGTGAGAGAAAAGGAAGGAAATAGAGGAAGAAAAAAGAAAAGAAGAAGAGAGGGGTTCTGGGTTTGCATTGCTATACAAAAGAACAGAAGTAATTTTTCTGTTGATTTAAAAATTGCTTCTTGATCTTGTTGGTTCTAGCGATCATTGCTAATTATGAGGATAGCCAAAATGAATGACTCTGTAGCCAGTTCATAGATACAGCCATTTCGCATACTATGGACTAGTGTGCCCGTGTACATGTGAATTTTAAAATTTACTTAGATGGGTTTTAAGTTAGAATTCACAAAAGTATTTATTTAGAAAATAATATATTGGAGTTGTTACCAAGTAGTTGTATATAATACTCCCTTTCAAACTAAGTGTGCATGGCCGGGCATGGTGGCTCATACCTGTAATCCCAGAACTTTGGGAGGCCAAGGCGGATAGATCACCTGAGGTCAGGAGTTTGAGACCAGCCTGGCCAACATGGTGAAACCCCGTCTCTACAAAAATTACAAAAATGATTCAGGTGCGGTGGCTCACACATGTAGTCCCAAACTACTCGGGAGGCTGAGGCATGAGAATCGCTTGAACCCGGGAGGTGGAGGTTGCAGTAAGCTGAGATCACGCCATTGCACTCCGGTCTGGGCAACAGAGTGAGACTCCATCTCAAAACAACAACAACAACAACAACAACAACAACAACAAAAAGAAACTAGATGTGCTGGCTAATTTATATCCAAATAATTCATTTTGCCCTTGTTATGAATGTGACTTCAAGGATAGGGCAACATCACATGGCACATATTCTCAACCTGAATTTCATCTCAGTGTCTCTGTCAAAGTGGACGCTGCAGGTGCCTGGTGAGAGCATTTTTTGAGGGTAGTGGAGGCCTTTTCCTTCCCTGGGTCCCAGGTCTGTGAGGCTCAAACCTCTCTTCCTAGTCTTGCCTTGATTACCACACTAAATATGTCATTTAGCAAATCCTTCTGATAAAGGCTCTTTTGTACTTCAAGTAAAGAAACCCATATCAGAGTGTCTATTATATACCTGCCACTGTCTCCTTCATTTAATCAGCCATTGCCTGGGGAAGAGGTGGGGCTGAGCTTAAGCAAGGTCACTGGTTTGCTGTATCCCAAAGGTGTTTCCATTTCTGCATGTTACTGGGCTGGGAGGATTTGGGGGGTGAGGACTGTATTTTGCACTTTGTATTCCTGGTAAAGAATCTAGCACGGTGACAATCAGTATTTGTTGAGTGCACAAATTTGTTTCAAGAGCAGATCTCCTGTCTTAGTTTAGCTTGAGCAGCCCAGAACACAAGTAAGTGCCATTAATCTGGCACATCATCTGTGTTCCAGGAAGTCAAAGGGAAACCTAACGTGAGAAATGTGAACATTTAAATTAAAAGCACTTACAACTATTTAATGTACCATCCTGATTCTAATTAATGCAGAAGTTAATTTGATGAAAATTGGGAGAAATCACAGCAGCAATCCTGCTCTGAACTTGATAAAGAGTTATACAGTACCTCCTGCTCCTTGGGGAATGGAGGGTGCTAGTGAACTGATGTAACCTGGATTTTGTCTGTTCCCATTTTCAAGTGGCAGAATTCTATGGAATACTTGAATTAATTGATATTCCCGTTATAGTTGCCTAAAGACTCAGGCCTTGGGAGTCATAACCATGTGGCACAAAGTTTAAATTAATTCTGTGGCAGTTTTCGATAGGATCATTCATTCATTCTGTGTATTTTACTGAGCACCAACTTGGGCTCCAGGTATATATCAGTCAAATAGACATAGTATCTGCCATCATGGAGTGTACCGTGTGATGAAGAAACAGCATCAGTAAGTACACAAGAAAATAAATCTCTCAGTGCAAACTGTGATATATGTTTGTTATGATGAAAGTGAATAGGATACGGGGAGAGGTAGAGAGATGTGAGGTGACTTCACCGAGAGAACAGTATGTGCAAGGTCACTTGGGTGCAAAGGAGCTTGGCATGTTGAGGGTGCTGAGAAGCTAAGTGCGAGCCAGTGTGCCTGGAACATGCTCAGGAGGAGGAGCTGGTGTTAAATGAGGCAAGAGAGACCAGCAGGGCCCAGGGCACGCCGGGCTTTGTAGGAGGTACATGGATTCGGATTTTGAATCACTGTGCAAAGACCATTATAATTGATTTAAACATTTATGCAACTTTTGGTCTGAGAGCATTGAATGAATAGAGACTGTGCACCCATTAGTCTTCTCAAGGTAAATATTAGAATTCTTAAGTTAGATCCATTTTTGTTCCTGTGGGAACACAATTTTATATGGTCATATATGATTATGGGAAGATAGATTTTTGATATTCAAATATTCAGGTAACATTATCATTTAGTTATACATAGTAAATCAAAAAATAAAGCAAACCCAAGTTGTTTCCAGTTGTAAAGAAGGTAGCATGGCTATACAGTTTCCTGTTCTCCTGTGGAGACGGTGGAGGGGAAATTCCATGTGCCTCTGCATTTTCTGCATGTGTTGTGAGCTAGTCCCTAACTACTCTTTGTTCTGAATACCTTTTCTAGGATGTTTGTGTGGGGAGAAGCCTTGAACGGTAGAAATCATGTCCCCTTTGTAGCAAAGGACAGGCTTGCTTATAGCATTGGAAAGTAGAGGTAGTGTTTCCCCTCAGAGCACAGGGCAGATAGGTTTACTACCCCCTGTAAAAAAATTGGGGCTCCTTAAGCTCAGGGTTTCTCTCCTGAAATGAAGCCCACTGTATGTGCAAGTATCCATCTGGGCCTACCTACATTACTCCAAGGGGAAGGGGAACTGACCAGACATACTGATGCTTGTGCCACTTGCTGTGCGGTGAGTAATAAAGTCCTTTTCTCTGACCCAGGAGTCTGTGTCTTCTGTCAGCATTCATAAAACTGTCAGACTAACTAGTTAGCTTCGAAGTGAGTAAAATCTCAGACCCTTCACAGTTCTTCACAGAGGCTCCTCAGCAGTCCGAGCGGGAAGGTACGATGCCAGGCAGGTGACACCCTAGTGCTTTGCAGCCTCTAAGCTGTCCAATTAGCATTTCTTGTCACTGTTTTTCTCCTCCAAAGTCACAAGATGAGCTGTTCTCAGACAATCACATCTTAAGTGTGACTTCTAGTCTAAAATACATGTGTGAAACCTACTAGCTACTAATTATTATGCCTTGAATGTTCTTAACCAAGTGGGAGAATGGTTCAACAACAGAAAGAATACTATGTTAAAATTTTAGGATCAGGACATAAAATCTATTAAAATGATACTTTAAATTAAAAATATTGTGTGTATGTCTGAAAATGTAAACCCAAGCATATTTCCATGAAAAATGCTTTTTTTTTTTTTTTTTTGAGATGGAGTCTTGCTCTGTTTTCCAGGCTGGAGTGCAGTGGCATGGTCTTGACTCACTGCAACCTCTGCCTCCTGGGTTCAAGCAATTCTCCTCCCTCAGCCTCCCTGACCAGGGCCTTGAGGAGTAGGCACTGCCACTGCTCCCATGGGAGAATACCAGGTACTGCTCTGGCAGCTGCAGGAGATGTTCTGTATCTGCACTGTCCAATACAGTGGGCACTAGCCACAAGTGTCCACTGAACGCTTGAAATTTTGCTTATTGGAATTGAGATATAAGTAGCACGGTGGCTCACGCCTGTAATTCCAGCACTTTTGGAGGCTGAGGTGGGAGGACTGCTTGAGCCCAGGAGTTCGAGACCAGCCTGGGTAACATACCAAGACCCCCATCTCTACAAAATATAGAAATAAATAAATTTTAAAAATTATACACTAGAGTTCAGATTTAGGGCAGAAAAAATGTAAAATGTTTCACTAATAATTCTTAAAATTAAGAATGTTTGAAATGATAGTATTTTAGATAGGTTAAATAAAAATACTGTTAACATTAGTTTCATCTGTTTATTTTTACTTCTTTTTAATGTGACTAGAACATTTTAAATTCCATGTGTAGCTCTCATTCTATTTCTATTGAACAATGCTGTTCTAGATCCTTGCTACTCAAAGGGCGGTTCTCAGGCAAGCAGCATCACCATCATCATCATCTGGGAGCTGGTTAGGAATGTGGTATCCTACACCCCACTCCAGACCTACTGGGTCAAAATTTGCATTTTAACAGAATCTCATGTGATTTGTATGCACTTTACACTTTGAGTAGCTAAGCTTCCCTAAGACTAGGACTGGCTGGTTTAGCAAACTAAAAATATAGGATGCCCAGTTAAACTTAATTTTTCAAATAAACAATAAGTTTTAAATATAGTATGTCCCAAATATTGCATGGAATATGCTTATATTAAAATCATTTTTTTTTTTCAGCTTTAACAGGTTATCCTATAGTCTATCTGTCAGCATTACCTAAAACTAACTTCTCTTATCCAGACCTGCTTGTTACATGAAATTCCACAGAATCAGGAAAAGAACAGAATGAGAAAAGGAGTGGTGAAGAGTAGAAGCTGGGTGAAATGAAAACAGAGAAGAAGGCCGGGCACGGTGGCTCAAGCCTGTAATCCCAGCACTTTGGGAGGCCGAGACGGGCGGATCACAAGGTCAGGAGATCGAGACCATCCTGGCTAACACGGTGAAACCCCGTCTCTACTAAAAAAATACAACAAACTAGCCGGGTGAGGTGGCGGGCGCCTGTAGTCCCAGCTACACGGGAGGCTGAGGCAGGAGAATGGCGTAGACCCGGGAGGCGGAGCTTGCAGTGAGCTGAGATCCGGCCACTGCACTCCAGCCTGGGCGACAGAGCAAGACTCCATCTCAAAAAAAAAAAAAAGAAAACAGAGAAGAAAAGACAGTATGAGGAGGCAGTAGGAATTAGATGGGGCACGGAAAGGCCATATTTAAGGCCAGCTACCCTTTTGATTTTGTAAATTTTGTTAGCAACTTTCTTCCTTATTCCTGCATTCTCCCACTTCCCAAAGTCATTCTGCTTTATTCTCCTCTTCTTATTTTCTACTGGGGTCCCCTGAACTATGTTGGGAGAAAGTGGTGTGTGAGAGGAACAGGAATGTCTCCTCAGCGCGAAGACCCCAGCTTTCTTACAGTCCATCATCTCTGAAATTTCACTTACAAATAGCCCTTTTCTGCTACCAGTACTTTGTCTTTAAGCCATCAACGTTCCTAAGTGCCCCAAATGGTGACACTTGACACTTTAATTTTGGAGGATTTTCTTTATTGTGGCATTTTAATTGTACTTTAAAAAATGTAAAACAACTCTTAGGAATTTTGTGGTTTGTTTTGTTTTTCAGGCTTTTAGGGGAGTGAGGGGAAAGGAGAGGCCAGCAGGGAAGGAATAACAATAGACACTCTACTTAGCTAAGCGTTGAGTTAAGAAGAGCCTTTCATGGCCTGGCGTGGTGGCTCACGCCTGTAATCCCAGCACTCTGGGGAGCCGAGGTGGGCAGATCACCTGAGGTCAATAGCACGAGACCAACCTGGCCAACATGGCGAAACTCCGCCTCTACTGAAAATACAAAAATTAGCTGGGTGTGGTGGTGCATGCCTGTAATCCCAGCTACTCGGGAGGTTGAGGCAGAAGAATCACTTGAACTCAGGACATTGAGGTTGCAGTGAGCCGAGATCGCGCCATTGCACTCCAGCCTGACAGAGGGAGACTCTGACAGAAAAAAAAAAAAAAACCAAAAAACCACAAAAAAAACCCTTTTATCCATGATCCCATTTAATCTTCACAACAATTAAGTGTGTCTGTCCCTACTCTGCAGATGAGGAAACAAGGCTCCAGAGGGAAGATCACCTGCCTGGTGTCAGCTTGCTCACTGGTAAGGAGCTTCTGATTCCAAAGCCGGTGCTCCTGTGCTCCTCACCGTTGCTGTCCACACCTCTTGGCAAATGGAGGCTTATGAATTCATCAGGAAACTGTGAACTAGGACATACATGTGAATTTAGGGAAGTTCCGAAGATTTTTATTTATTTATTCACCTGAAAAATACAGGTAAAAATATATACTTCATCCTGAAGTGTAATATGAAATATAGAATAGTATGACGTATATGTAGTATGAAGTATATAACATAAAGTCTTAAGAGTTATATGACAGTATCAAAACAATGCAAATTTCTAAAATGAGCTTAAGTGGTAAATATATTTTCTTTAAAAATTGGCTCCTTAATAATCTTTCCATGAGATGAATAATTGAAAACCTAAATATTTATTTCACTCTATACTGTAAGCATTTTCAGACCCCTCCCTTCCCTCCCGCCCCACCATGGAATACATTCTGAAAAAGCTGCCCTGTTATTGGTTGAATATGCTGTCAGTCACATGGCATGAAAAGTACTGCGTTTGCTCTGTTTGCATTTATGAATTAACAGATGTTCTTGCTTTAAAGAAACTGATTCTTTTCTGATGGGAAAAAAAATCTTGTTTAGTTTTTCACTGATTTTTTTATGTATAGGATTTTCACTAACCTTGGACCATATATTTGCCAGGAAGAATGTAAGGTGAGTAACTGCACATCTTTTAAAGCAATATATTTGTGAACTTAAGTGCAAGTATGAAATTAGGTGGCTCTGTGATTTCTTTATGTTGTTTCATATCTACATTTGTTTGTGATTCAAAATGGATATGCTAGATCATACAGGTAGCTGCAAAAATTATTGAACAGCGTTTATGCTTGAGGTAAAAATATAAGCTTTTTTGTAAGAGACAAGGGTTATTTGTTCAAAATATCCAAGAAACTTTTGTAGTATGTATCAAAGTATTTATCTATGAGAAAATGACTCCTCAAATCAGTGTTCAGATTTCTTTCATACTTACAAGGAAATGTTAATTCCACAGTATCTCCTGCCATTATTATGTGAGAAAAGAGTAAGAAAAAAATTGAAAACTTCAGAAATATATATCCTGTCCTTCAAAGAAAAGGTGTTAAATCGTTTTAACTGTTAAGAGATGGCAATTAAATTCCTGTTTCTATTTCTATTGTCCTTTTGGCTTCTTTATACATCATTTAAGGAACTTTTACAGCTTTTTCTATAAAAAAGAATATTCAAAATCTGAATAGCAATTAAGGTATGTCATGTCTCTCACTGACTCACTGTGTGCCTTCTCAACAAATGCATCAGGGAATTTAGTGTGAACACAGCGGACGCAGCAAGCAGGAGAGTCTGGCAGAACTTGGGTTAAAGACTCCGTAGTCCAAAACTGATAAAATCTTTACATATAGACATTAACACTTTTTTTCTTCCATTGTTTATGAGTCAATTGGTGCTTTCCTTCAGGTTCACTTTTGAATAGTAAGTGACTTATATCCTTTAGGTGGTTAAAGCCTAGTCCTGGTTCCACACCTGGGTTACACAGAAATGCCTGATTTGTGTCTTACACCAGTAAAATGTACACCAAGAATTAGAAAAATCCCAGTTCTGTTTTTAAGACAAAGTTAATGGGCTTAATTTTAGCTTCAGAAGCTTTAGATCTTAGAAATCACATAAGTCAATGATCATTTGAATCTAATAATACGGCTCATTAATTCATTATGAAGGAAACAACAGTTGTTGTTTTATGTGTTCTTTCAAATAATAGATCCAAAATTTAAAATATCTTTCAGCTCCCTGGGGCTATTCAATATTCTGTCTGTAGGAAGGAGGATTATATTTTAAGCTGAATACACGGTTTCTAAACATAGCGTGAGTAGGGGTCATTATTCTCACTTTGCACATTTCTTTCTCAAGTTGGGTTTATTCTTGATCCAAAAAGAAATCCTGTGTGACCTCCCATTTTCCACTTTGATTTCAGAGTATTTTCATTAATTTCTTAGTTCATTCATGCATGCAACACATTTTAAAAATAATTGGTGCTTTTAAGTAGTGAGGCCCCATGCTAGGTGCTGGGTCTACAAATGGTGAGCACAACAAGGTTAGTCCCTGCCCTCATGGACTAAGTCTAATAGGGAAGCCCTTGTTAATCAAATGATATATATTATTCCAAATAAACTTTGAAATGTGTTGTGAAAGAAAAGTATAGGAAGCAATGAGCACATACAATAGGGGGATTGGAACTCGCAGAAGTTAGGGATTGTGTTCCTGAGGAAGTGATGCGCTGTCATCTGGAGGATATGTAGAAAATCACTAGGAGGATGGAGAACATTCCAGGTGGAGGGAGCAGCAGGTGCTAAGGGAAAAATGAACCATGAAGTGTTCAAGGAACTGAATAATGCTAGAGTAGCTGGAGCAGAGAGAGAAGGAAAGAGGTGAAATAAGGCAAGCACAGCTGGCAGGACGAAGTCTGCCTGGATAATGTCTGGGTATTTGTGCCTATTTCATATATTATATTCAGTTACATTTTAACCTGTACTACAAAGTCTGGAGTTTAGGTAGGTTAGATTATTTGGCTAAAGCATATCTTTATTATAGTTTCATTATTACTTGGATGGGAACCTCACTTTTGTTGCTCAGGAAATTAAACTTATACTCACAAGACACTTAATGTAAACCGTAATGCTAATTTATAAGTTTCTAAAGGAAGGTATCTTTTTAAAAAATTAAATTACAAATTTTAGTCAAAGTAATACACCTACCTGGTTTCAAAAAATCAAAAGGTGACAAGACACACATTAAAGGAAAAAATTGTCTTCTAGTTATTTCTATAGGCAAACATTTTCAAATTTTTAGTTGTTTCTTCTGTTGGTCACTGCTTGTATTAGTGACCTTGTATCTAGACTTTTTTCTAGAAACAAACAACCCCTATATTGCAGAAGTTTGTAGCCTCAAACATTTCTTTCTTGCTCCTGTTACTTCTGACAGCTACAGGTGGGCTGCTGTGACCCTGCTCTATCTCTGTTTCCACTTCTCATTCCAAGTCCCAGGCTGAAAGAACAGCCCCTATTTGGGCATGCTGTTCTTACGACAGAGGGAATGGGGGAAGAGATGGCAGGCACATGCAGACACTTGCAACTTCTGCAGAACTGTCACATTGTTGCTTCTGCTCATATTGCATTGGCCTAATTAAGATATATAGCTGAAACTGGAGAGTTCCCTGACCCCCCCCTTGCAGGACGTGCAACAGGGATGTGGCGCATTTGTTTGGCTGCTGCCACATGTGCTTAAACCTTTTACAAGACGGGGAGCATGCAGACGGGCAGGTGTAGGAACCAGGGCAAGTGCTTTTGGGCTCTGGCCTCATGGTAGCATCTAGGGTTGGGTGCCTGTGACTCTCAAAGCCCCAGTGGGTGTGTGACAGTGCTCTTTTAGCTCTGCCATCTGCAGACGGCTTAAGTGTTAACCAGTTTAGTGCCCTCTTGGACCCCAGGTTTTTGTTTGGCATCCAGGAAGAATCAGGTTACACAAGGGCTCAAAGGATGGTGAATGTGGGGGTTATACTGAGTGGTGGAGGTGGCTCTCAGTAGGAGGGATGGGGAGCTGGAAGGGGGATGGAGTGGGAGATGATCTTCCCCTGGAGTGTGGCTGTCCAGCAGCCAATCTCCTCTCTGACTGTCCCCAGCCAAACTCCTCTAGATGTTCAGATACTCCTTCTCGTCTCTCCTTCTCTGTCATGGTGTTCTGCTGCTCTTCTGTTCACCTGTTCATCCGCTCATCTGCTTGTGGAGCCTGGGGTTTGGGGTTTATATGGGTACTGGATAGGGGGCCCTGGTGGGCCAAAAGGCAACATTTGGGCACAGAAACAGGAAAGCTTGTTCCCATTTAGGGCCATGGGTTTCCAGGCTTAAGGGTGGGGCCTTTGCCAGGAACTGCCCTCTTCTATCCAGTATTTCCCTGTCTCCTGTCCATATAGTGGCCAAGCCTAATGATGGGGCAGGAAGCATTTTCCACCCACAGGGAGGAACTGCAAGTCATATGGCCTAGGGGGATGCAAAATCCTCTCCCAGAGAAGGAAACAAAGACTTGGTAACAATCATACAATTCACTGTACTGCCATAGTATCAAAATAATATGCATAGATGATTTCTCCATTTATACATGTTAGATTTTATAACAAGTTCCTTTATTATTGACAAAGTTCCTGTCTCCAACAATGTCCTCATCTTTCTTTCCTTCACTCCCCCCATTCAATATAGTTACATTACTACTTTCAGTTCATCAGTGCTTGCATCAAAATGACTATGTATATTGTTCACAGACAAGCCAGCTAGTAGACTGTATTTTGTTTCTTTCTTTTTTTTTTTGAATAACTTTTCTTTTTCCCTTGAGTTACAAATGGCCTTTTCGTAGTTGCAATTTCAAAACATGCATAGTCTTAATTCTTTTCACATGTTCTTTCCTCCAATATGCAGTGGTCTCTCAAATTCCCCTTTCACTTAGAGATCTCTCTGTATGTCTTCCTTTTATTGTCCTCTTGCTCCAGTCTGGATTGATTCTATGTCTGATATACAATGGTTAGTCTTAGTTTCGCTTCACCACTCTTCTAGTGAGATCTGCTGTTTATGAGAGCCTGTGCTTTCTCTTTGTTGACTTTTGCCCTTATGTTGTGGGAGCATGTCCTCCATTAGCTTCTGTGAAGGGGTGAGAGGGATGCATTGGCTGAACTCTTGCATAATTCTTGTTTTTTACTTCTGCAAGCTTAATAGGACATTTTCTTTATCCTTAGCTCCAAAATGATGCAAGTACCTTAACTCACAAAAATCAACTCAAAATGGACCTAAGTGTAAAAGTTAAAATTTGAAAACTTCTAGGAGAAGCACAAGAGGAAAATCTTGGTGACCTTGTTGGGCAAATATTTCTTTTAGAAACAAAAACATAGGCTATAACAGAGAAAAAGATTACATTGGACTTTATGAAAATTAGAACTTTTGCTCTTTGAAAACCACCATTAAGAAAATGAAAAAGGAAGACAGAATGCAAGAAAATATTTCCAGTGTCTATATTGGACACAGGACTTGCATCCAGCACATATAAAGAGCGCTTATGGAGGTCAATGAATTTAATTTTTAAAATAAGCAAAAGATTTAAGCACACTTCACAAAAAAAACTATATGATTGCTCTATAGGCATAAGAAAAAATGCGGGGCATCATTAATCACCAGGGAAATGGATATTAAAATTAAACTGAGCTAGCAACCCACACCCATTGGAATGGTTAAAATTAAACAGATTGATGATACCAAATGTTAGCAAGAATGTTGAACAACAGGGAAGCCAAAACTGACTGGCAGCTTTTCTAAAAAGTTACTTCTATTATGTGACTTGGTCATTCCATTCCTGGCTATTTATTTAAGAGAAACAAAAACATATTCACACAAACTCCTATACATTAATGTTCTTAAATCTTTATTTGTAGTAGCTCCAAACCAGAATCACCCCAAATATTCATGAATGTGTGCATAGACAAAGTATGGCATATCCATACAATGAAATATTTCTTAACACTAAAACAGAATGAACTACTGACATATGCAACCACGTACATGAATTTCAAAGTCATTATGATAAGATGGAAAGAAGCCAAATGCTAAGGAATATGTATGATTCCATTTATACGCAACTGTAGAAAATGCTAACTAGGCCAGGCGCGGTGGTTCACGCCTGTAAGCCCAGCATTTTGGGAGGCCGAAGTGGGCAGATCACCTGAGGTCGGGAGTTCGAGACCAGCCTGACCAACATGGAGAAACCCTGTCTCTACTAAAAATACAAAATTAGCCGGGTGTGGTGGTGCATGCCTGTAGTCCCAGCTACTTGGGAGACTGAGGCAGGATAATCGCTTGAACCCAGGAGGTGGAGGTTGTGGTGATCTGAGATCACGCCATTGCACTCCAACCTGGGCAGCAAGAGCGAAACTCCATCTCAAAAAAGAAAAAAGGAAATGCTGACTAATCTAAAGTGACAGAAACAAGTCTGTAGTTTCCTCGGGTTGAGGGTGGAGGGAACAACTCTTAGCTGCAAAAATTCAAGTGGAAACTTTTTTGGGTGTTATAAACATTCTGTATTGTTATTGTGACAATGGGGTCATGGGTATGTGCTGTGCCAAAACTCATATAATTGTATAATTTTCATGAATGCAATTTACTGTACATAAATTATATACTTCAATAAAGTTGATGAAAATTAATGAATTGCATGCATGCATACATTTATTAACAGCAACTAGTAGACAACATGGTCACCAATTTGTCATTTTCAGAAATTCTCATTAGATAATAGGGATCATATTACAGAGAGAATGGTGCATTTAATTTGTAATTGGGTCCATATAATTAATTCTAAAGCACTTTATTATGATATAGATTTAGTAACTCTTCAGCTACAATTATGTTTTGCATATATATCATGTAATATATATCTTTCTCTAATTATAAAAATGTTGAGTTTATATGATAGCGATATATAGAGACCTTAGATTGGAATTGTTAAGTATAGAGTTTGATTTACATTCTCTCATACTGTAGGTAAAACTTATGGAAAACTTAAAATATGCAATAAACAAACTGTTAAATCTTTAGGACGTTTATGACAAAACCGGAGATTTAAACACTAATTTTATGTTAAATAATTATCAGTATTTTCTAGATGTAATTGTGCTGTTATTTTTAAAAGTTCTTATCTTTTAGAGATATATACTGAAATGATATAATTTTTGACATTTTATTCAAACTACTATCACATGGGGGAAGAGGGTGAGCTTGTAGGTGAAACAAGATTGGTTATAACCTGATAATTACTAAAGCTGAATAATGGGTCCAGGTACATGGGGGCTTATTATTTTTTTCTGTTTATATTTGTGTATGTCTGAAATATCCTGTAATAAAAAATGTGTATATCTTCTGACTTAGAAATTTCACTTCAAGGAATTTATCTTAAGGAACTTCTCATGGGTGTGAACAAACCATCCACAGTAATGTTCAATGCAGTATTGTTATAATGCTAATAAAATTGAAAACAAATACTTAAAAGTAGAAATTTGGTTAAATACATTATGATACATTTCAATGATATAATACTACATGACATTAAAAATGTGTCAAAAGTATATAATTACATGGAAAATATTTGTGATATAGTTTTAAAAAAAATTGCAAACTCTAAAACAGTATGTCCAGAAAAATCCATTTTTAAACTTTGTGAAAAGTAAATTATATACATATGTGGTGTGTGTTTGTGTGTTTGTGTGCATACAGAGAGGATATATATACACATACAAACACAAGGATATATATCATAATTTATATGCTCATAAGTTTCCAGTATAACTTTTTGGTAATTGAGTCTGTCTTGTTTTCTGTTGGATGTTTTGGCTTTGATATGTTAACAATGCAATGTAGTATGAAATTTCACTGTAAAATGTTTTATATGCTTTATTATTTTGTTATTTTGTATTTGTTATTGGTTAAACCTTAGCGTGTAGCACACTGCTTGGCACATAGTAGGCTCCCCTGCCCGCAATATTATTCAGTGAATAAGCATCAGGTTTTATTTATTTATTTATTTATTTATTTGAGACGGAGTCTCGCTCTGTCGGCCAGGCTGGAGTGCAGTGGCGGGATCTCAGCTCACTGCAAGCTCCACCTCACAGGTTTACGCCGTTCTCCTGCCTCAGCCTCCCGTGTAGCTGGGACTACAGGCGCCCGCCACCTCACCCGGCTAGTTTTTTGTATTTTTTAGTAGAGACGGGGTTTCACCGGGTTAGCCAGGATGGTCTTGATCTCCTGACCTCGTGATCCGCCCGTCTCGGCCTCCCAAAGTGCTGGGATTACAGGCTTGAGCCACCGTGCCCAGCCTTCAGGTTTGATTTAAAATAATTTTTCTGGCTGGGCATGGTCACTCACACTTGTAATCGCAGCACTTGGGGAGGCCGAGGTGGGTGGATCACCTGAGGTAGGAGTTCAAGAGCAGTCTGGCCAACATGGTGAAACCCCATCTCTACTAAAAATACAAGAATTAATAAGGTGTGGTGGTGCACCTGTAATCCCAGCTACTCAGGAGGCTGAGGCAGGAGAATCACTTGAACCCAGGAGGCAGAGGTTGCAGGGAGCCGAGATCACACCACTGGACTCCAGCTTGGGCGACAGAGTGAGACTCCATCTCAAATAAAATAAAATACAATAAAATAATTTTTCTTTCTAAAATTTTTCGTTATTTTTCATATTTGTTTTTTGAAGAACATATGTTACTTTCTCTCTCTGTTAAATGCAGAGACAACAGGGGAGAGACATATTACTTTTTGAATGGGAAATTCACCATTAAGAAATGAACAGTTTTGGCAGGCTGTTTCTGCTCCTCTGTTCTGAGATGTAATAAAGTGAAATATACTTGTTAAAATTTCATATAACATCTGAATTGTAGATATTTATTCAGCATCTTTTAATTTTTTTGTTTTTTTCTAATTTCAGTTCTCCAACATCTTCAAATAAAGAAGTGGTTATGAAGAATGGTAAGACTCCAGTTGCCCGCATGATTCCATGTGGGGTGGGGAAGGGCTTTTTCTGTGATAGAATTCCCTGACCAATGGTGTCTGTACCAGGAGTCACTCATGTGAAATCTTATATTAGTGTGTTCTAAACGATGAGCCAAAAGGGGCTCAAGCTTGATATATGTGACAGTGCTTAGCATATTATTGCCACTCAATTACATTAATAAATAAAGGACATTTAGCATTGGTAACCACATCATTATTTATTTGACAGATCAGAATAATGGAGGTACGAAACCAGTCCAGAATTTCACAACAATACCAATCACACAGGTATGGCTATGCCAGGAAACCAGATTGTAATCTAGCTCTAAAAAACTGAAAAACACGTTTCAATCATGTCTGTGCTCCTGTGAAAATATAAATTATAATTGTATTAATAAGTAACATATTTTTGCTTCAATTTGGGGTGGGGAAATGTATTATGGAATCTCTTCTTTTTATTTTTATTTTATTTTATTTTTAAAATTTTATTTATTTACTTTTTTGAGACGGAGTCTGACTCTGTCACCCAGGCTGGAGTACAGTGGTGCGATCTTGGCTCACTGCAAGCTCCACCTCCCAGATTCACACCACTCTTCTGCCTCAGCCTCCCAAGTAACTGGGACTACAAGGCACCCACCATCACACCCAGCTAATTTTTTGTATTTTTAGTAGAGATGGAGTTTCACCGTGTTAGCCAGGATGGTCTTGATCTCCTGACCTTGTGATCCACCCGCCTCGGCCTCCCAAAATACTGGGATTACAGGCATGAGCCACCGCGCCTGGCTAGAATCTCTTCTTTTTAAAAGTCAACTTTTATTTTGGATACAGAGGGTCCATGTGCAGATTTGTTACATGGGAATAGTGCATGATGCTGGGGTTTGTGGTATGAATCACATCACCCTGATAGTGAGCATAGTGTCTGATAGGTAGTTTTTTAAGCTACTCCACTCCCTCCACTCTCCAGTCATCCACAGTGTCGATGGTTTGCATATTTATGTCCATGTGTACTCAATGCTTAGCTCCCACTTATAAATGAGAACATGTGGTATTTGGTTTTCTGTTTATTATAGAATCTTACAGTTGAGAAAAACCTAAAATACTTAATTTTACTTGCTCTCTTATATTTTCATTACAATATTCAGCTTCATTTCTGTTGCTATAATAATAATAATCTTTGGTTACTGTTAAGCGTAAGTTGCAGCTCTCTATTAACTAATTTTTCTTTTATCTGTATTTACACTAGAGTACTTGGTGTAAATTTCTTTCTTTGTATTGTACATTTTATGAGTTTTAATAAATGTATAATGACATGTATTTACCATTACGGGATATGACTTAGTTCTTTCATTTCTAGGAAGCCTTTTGCACCATAGACACAAGTCCATCTCTTACGTTCTTTATATTTGGTTAATTAGGCTCTCAACTACAATCTGAGCAAAGAAGGGCATTTAGAAAAAGAACCTTGGAATGCATTCAGCCATCATGGCCCAGTTAATGTCTCCATCGATGGAATTTCTTGCATTCTCTTCTGGGCCAAAAGAATCACGATTAAATTTAAGAATCAAACCTGGCTGGACCTTACAGACGAGGCATTTGGTCAGAAGGTAACAGTGGACCCTGACAACTCAAATTGCACTGAAGAAAGTGCTAGGTATGTTGATCTCTCAGTTTGAGGAAGCCCTTAGGGCTATTGCGTTGTTAACTCTGCATTCAATTTTTTTTGTCATTTCAGAAAAAAAAAAAAAAATAGGCTCCTTTGTATAGGACCCTGACACACATCTTTGAGAAAGTATTTACTGTCTAAAATAAAGGAACAAATCAGAAGTTAACTTCAAAAATTGTTGGCTGGGCACGGTGACTCATGCCTGTAATCCCAGCACTTTGGGAGGCTGAGGGGGTGGATCACCTGAGATCAGGAGTTCAAGACCTGCCTGGCCAACATGGTGAAACCTCGTCTCTACAAAAATACAAAAATTAGCCAGGCATGGTGGCGGGTGCCTGTAATCCCATCTACTCAGGAGGCTGAGGCAGGAGAATTGCTTGAACCTGGGAGGCGGAGGTTGCGGTGAGCTGAGATCCCATCATTGCACTCCAGCCTGGGCGACAGAGTGAGACTCGGTCAAAAAAAAAAAAAAAAAGTTATATTTTCCTGGCAGTTTTCTGCTGAACCTTTTTGCTAATTGTCAGAATAACTTGTAGAAAATGAGACTTTGGAAAGCGAGGGTTCTCAAACTCATTTTGAAAACAGCAAAGGATTCCAGGCTTGGTCTCACCTCCAAATATTAGGTGTTAAACTACTTTTATCCTATCAGGGAAGAGATCACATATCCCAGCAGGGTCATGCACATTCTAGTGGGTAACACACTAGCCAGGACAAATGCTTGACTCTGTGGAGGTGGGGGGCGGGGGGTGGGTGTCAGTGTGCTGAAATAGTGGAATATTGCCTGTTTGCAAATGTGCAGGGCACTTTTCAATGGCTAAATTCCAGATAATTCTTTGGGACATTTCAAAATGATTGAAATAATTAGTTTTGATTTGAGATAAGCAGATTAAACAAATAACATGTTTGAAGGGCAAATCAATTTCCAATGCCTTTTTCTGCTTTTCAGTCATCCAAGCAAAAATTTTTGTTTTTATTTATTTTGGTCCAGGGAGAGGAAATCTGGCATGTCCTGCTTGCTTTCTATAAACCTTCTTTTCAACATTTGTTGGTAAAATAGATCCGTTTGGAAGATTCTCTGCATTTGTTCTGGTTTGGTTTAGATGGGTAGGGTGCTTTATATAAAGCATAACTGTGTGCGTGTGTGTGTGTGTATTCTTTTTCTACTTTATGTACTTTGGCTGGAAACATCCTTTTATTCCTGAACTTTACTTCCCACTTAAAAATTCTTGGTGATGGGTAAAAATGGATTCTATTAATATACAATTAAAAGTCATATTACAAATCTGAGTATCTTGCTGTTCAGAACGACTATCTTTTATTAGGGATTTAGGGAATTGTAAGTGGAAGCATCTAGAGTCCTCTCAGATTTGTTTATCCTGTTATAGCTCAACTATCCAAGACTATCAAAGAGACTATGGGATGCTGAGAGCTCAGGACCTTTTCCTGGGGTGCTAATTAATTCCCCACAGGGCTCTTTATTTGTGGTCAGTTGCACAGAGAGAGGCTGCCTGCTTGGGGATAATCTTGGCTGTCTATGGCTGACTGGCTCTCCTTGATTCCATTTATCCTGACCCTAGGGCATTTGTGGGAGAAAATCAGGGTCCTACAGTTGTTTGTTTTTTATTTTATTTTATTTTATTGTTTTATTTTAAAGACAGAGTCTCGCTCGTTGCCCAAGCTGGAGTGCAATGGCACGATCTCAACTCACTGCAACCTCTGCCTCCCGGGTTCAAGTGATTCTCCTGCCTCTGCCTCCCGAGTAGCTGGGATTACAGGCAGGTGCCACCACGTGCCTGACTAGTTGTTTGTATTTTTAGTAGAGACAGACAGGGTTTCACCATGTTGGCCATGCTGATCTTGAACTCCTGACCTCAGGTGGTCTGCCCACCTTGTGTTCTCCCAAAGTGCTGGGATTACAGGTGTGAACTGCCGCGCCCGGCCACCTACAGCTTTTTTTTTGCTGGGTTTTAGAGACCTTGTGATTACTGGGAACCTAGAGACAGAAAGAATGAAAACTTGGCCTCTAGGCCCAGTTCTACCAGAGAGCTTTGTGATTTTATAGGCAGGACATGTAGGATCATCATCTGTCAAATGGAGATGACGGCATCTATTCATTATAGCTATGAGGCCTTGAGCACTTACTGTGGGCCAGGCACAGTGCGAGCTCTTCATAGGCCCATGTCTGTTATTCCTCACAGTAACTCTCGGAGTCACAGGCAGTTATCATGACAGAGGTTAGAAAACTTGCTAAAGTCATGGAGTATGTATGTTCGTAGAGCTGGGCTTTAAAACATCTTTAAAAATGACCATGTATCTTCTTCCTCTTGGCCCTATCTTACAAGGTTGTGGAAAACACATGAGGAAATATATGCATAAGCACTTTGAGATCTTGTTGAGTGCTGTTCAGAGTATTAATAGTAGTAGCATTCTTTTCCTTCCTGGCATCCCAGTGATAACTAGAGTGAAACAGTGTCTAAATTTCTTCAGTAAGCTTTGGGTCTCACAGGACACAAATTAAAGATTGGGCAGAACTTGACTGTCTTTTTGGACACTGCCTTAGAATTCTATTCAGGTGTGAGCCCTGAGTGTGCAGTGTCCACCTGCTGGAGTCCTGCACAGGTGAGTGTGCAGGCATCCTGGACAGCCTGCCCAAAGAGGGGCAATAGGAGGCTTCCAGGAAGGGAGGTGTCAAGGACCAGCTGCTGAGACCTAGTGGCTGATTCCTGTGAATTCCATGGATGAGCCAGATGCCCTTGTGCTGGCAAGGAAATCTTAAGATCTCAAGAAGCAGAATGGGAGTTGCTGAAATAACAAACGAAAACAAAGACATAACCATGTAAGGTCAAAAGCACAGATTAAAAAAAGATGACCACGTTTTAGCTCTTGGAAACAAAATGTTCAGAGAGAGGCAAATTATTGGCAGATGGATTTGCTACAGAAGTCTTTTTAAATAGTGAAAGCCCTGCAAATAGAGCATAATCCCAGCATCTGTGTGTATTTGGAATTTAGGCAATTACAGCCTGAAGAATTCAGAATCCATTTTACATGTGTGAGAGTAGAGCGCTTGAAAGAGTAAAAAGAGCTCCTTTTTGAACAGCTCTTGTTCCAGGTTGTATTTCTCCTTTGTATTCCCAATTGATGGCACAGTACCTGATACTTAAAGATCCTCGTGGCTGAGCACAGTGGCTCACACCTGTAATCCCAGTACTTTGGGAGGCCAAGATGGGCAGATCACCTGAGATTAGGAGTTAGGGACCAGCCTGGCTAACATGATGAACCTTGTCTTTACCAAAGATACAAAAATTAGCCAGGTGTGGTGGTGCATGCCTGTAGTCCCAGCTACACAGGAGGCTGAGGTGGGAGGATTGCTTGAGCCTGGGAGTTGGAGGGTGCAGTGAGTGGAGATTATGCCACTGCCCCTGAGCCTGTGCGACAGAACAAGACCCTGTCTCAAAAAACAAAAAAAGGCAACAAACATTTTCATCATGCCCCGAAGTTTCTATGTGTTTCTTAGTAATGCATCTTTCCAACCACTGTCACATCTCCAGATAACCACTGATCTGCTATTATTATCAATTAGTTTGCACATTCTGGAATTTTATATAAATATAATCACATGTGTGTACTCTTTTTTAGTGTAGCCACTGTCACTTAGCTTAATGATTTTGATAATCTTCCATGTTATTGCATGTGTTAATGGTATTTCCCTTTTCATTGCTGAGTAGTAGTCCATCTTATAGATGTACCACAACTTATCTGTTCACCTGTTGATAGAAATTTGTTTTTTCTCTCACTTTTTGCATAACTTTCCCACTAAAGTCACTATGAACATTCATGTACAAGTCTTTGTGGCAGTGGGTATTTTCATTTCTCTTATCTGTCATTCCAACTAGGAGTAGAATGCCTGGATCATATGGTATGTGTATGTTTACCTTTTTAGAAAACAGCCAAACTGTTTTTTAAGTGGCCGCATCTTTTCCTTTTTTCCAGCATCGTATGAGAGTTCCAGTTGCTTCCCATTCTCACTAACACTTCGTATGGTCAGAGTGAGACTAGAGAAGGCATTTTTATATTTCTGCATCTTTAGGAATTTCTGAACAAATTTTTACTGGGAACTGGGTGAAAAGATAAGTGTTAGAGTTAGTGAGAGATTTACCTCTTGAAAGTAATGTGTTCGTGTATCAAGGGGTAATGAAACTCAAAGCCATAGAGAGATTCCAGGGGTTAGAAACTCAGAGAGGCTTATCTTATCCTCCCCTTGGAGATATGTATTTACATACCATGGGTATGAGACCTGCAACCATTTGTCTCCTTATGGTGAGTGATTTGCTTCCATCCAAAGGCTAATTAAACTCTTTCACTCAAAGACTAATCATCCCTCTTCTCTTTCTAAGGAGAATTTATTGACACTAGGGGAGCAAATGTTTCTCTCCCTCTCTCGGGAGGTGAGAAGGGATCCACGGTCTCTCTCCTATGTAAACTCCCAGATGGATAATTTTGGTGTTCCTCATCTGTATTACAAATCCCAATATGTGTAGGATGACATCTGGCTCTTCTCATGCTGCCTAGTGGGGGAGAATTGGATTAGAAGGGGGAACCACTATGGTTGTTCCCATGAGTAAGTCATGATTCATCTGTCTTTGCTCTGGGAAATCTTATGTTTACTCTCAGGGAAATAGGAATAAATGTAGTTATTAAAAGCTTAAGAGTCAGTTTAAAAAATGTTTTAGCCATTCTGATTCCTGTACTGTGTTATCTTTATTGTGGTTTTATTTTACATTCCCTGAATGTCTAATGGTCCTGAGCATCTTTTCATGTACTTATTGACCATTTGTATATCTTTCTTTAAAACATGCTCGAGTCTTCTGACAATTTTTGCGATTTTTACATTGGGCTGTCTTTTTGTTGAGTTGTTAGTGTTATTTATTGTATTCTGGATAAAGTTCTTTATGTATACGTGTTGTGAGTATTTTCTCCTGTTGTGTGGCTTGCCTTTCTTGTTTTCTTAAACAGTGTCTTTTGAAGAGTAAAAATTTTGGATTTTAGTAAAATGCAATTTATCAGTTGTTTGTTTTATGGTTTATGCTTTTGTATTTTTTTCAGGAAACCATTGCCTACCTCAAGATTAAAAAAATGTTCTATACATTTTGTGTGTTAGGTTTTACGTGACCCACCTTGAGGTAACTTTTGAGTAGATATGAAGTTAGGGTTATTCTTTTTTTCATAGACTGTGTTGTTTCCTTTTCTTAGGTTGTCTTTGAAGCTTGTTGATGCTGGAAACCCCAGAGGTCTTGCTATAAGGTAGGTAGGACAGCACTTTAGAGCGTCGCAGCTTCAGCACTTCAGATTAGCTCTCTAAAATGTATTCATTCCACATGTGTGAAGCAGGGGCTTGCTATATGCCCAAGCACTGTGACACATTGCATGCCACATCAACCTAATTACACTGAAAAGTTGGTGCTGTGATATGATGGGATCCTATACTGATGCTTTCTTTCTAAAAGTTTCTACCAAAATACCCATAACTTCCCTCTCCCCCACCCCCCATGCTGCCTGCATTAAGGACTTAGAAAACTCCCAGTCCTGAGAATGTAATATCCTTTTCATCTGAGAAAAGAAGAAAATAGAAATAAAGCTCTAAGGACTGGGGCTCTGGTTTGAAACTATTTTCTATAGCTTCTTATAACGAATCACACTTTACCATTTAACTACAATGAAAAAGCCTCGTTATGTGCGTTCCCCAGCAGACAATCAACAGAGGTCTACAGTTTTTTGGTGTTTAGGTATGAAAGGATGCATCTGCCAACAGTGACTTTAGCCAAGCAGTTAGGAACTGCTCCTGAGGTGGGGGGAACAATTTGAAGGCATTATTATTTTTTTCTTATAAAAATACAGTGCTTCCCTTCCTATAAGACAAACTTGTTAGTGGAGATAAGTAGTTGTGTCTTTAACATTATTTGGAAAAGCAGTAGGATTGTGCTAGGGCAGTCTTTCTTAAGCTTTGCTCTGTGGGACACTTCTGCTCTGTAAGAATATTTATAAGATTTTATGAAAAGGGGGTTCTGTGGTCAAATGTGTCTGGGAACGACTCTAAACCATGTCTTCCTCTTGGCAATTCACAGTGTAAACTTGTATGTTAAAATTTCTGAGAAGAAATAATCTTAAGGAAGACTATTGCACTTTGTAACTTTGACTAACTCAGTGTTTCCTGTGTTTAACTTTGGAGAGCCTTCTTCCTCAGAACACTTGTCTACATATCATGGGAGACTAGTGTTTCACTGATCATAATTTAGAAAACATATGCCATCATCTTTCAGAGCACTTTACAAGTAAATAGAACCCCACAAGGTGACCAAACACACATATCTGTTTGATCTAGAAATGGAGAATATTTTTGGTCATAATTCTACTTTTTTCCAAAATGAAAAATAGCTTTATTATTATTGTTGTTATTATTATTTATTCTGATGAGAGAGGTATGTAGCAGGCACTGTCAGTACTCCATGAATATCTACATGGTCCTTTCCATTTGAGAGTACTGTAGCCTACCTGCTGAACTTTCAACTCCCAGCCTCTCTTTGCCTAAAAGCTTTCTCTGGCCCACTGTCCCCAGTCCCTGGCCCAATGACTGGAGGAAACATACACACACCTCACCTCCCTCCCCATCAGGTGAGATAACTCAGCAGCATGTGCTGTACTCTGGCTCCCAGGTTCCATCACGGCAATGAAGCCCTGCTTGTCCACATCGGACACTTGCTTAATAATGTGCCTCTTTTAGCTGCCTTCCCTTCCTCTGTCGTTTCTTTTCTCTCCATTTTACATATTTTGAATGACTGAACTCCTCTGAATATTTCTTATATTCACACCCTTGCCTTAGGGTCTTCTTGCAAAGGAGCCAAACAGAGACAAGAAAAACTAATGAAAACAGAAAAATCAGAAAATATTGAGCTACAGAAAGAAGAAAATGAAAATCATCAATAATCTAAACACCATTTGCAATCACTACTAATGTTTTAATCTCCATCCTTCCAGACATTTTTTTCTATGCAGTCACATATTTTTTTTAAAAATTGAAATAAAATGATAATGACAAGTAAATTATGACTTTTTTCATGGCTGGAAAACAGTCCATTCCAAAAGAGTTAAGATTGGATTTGAAGCCCAGCTCTGACACTTACTCTCCCAGTGAGCTTATTCAAGCCCTTTGTGTTTTAGATTCCTTGCCTGTGAAATTAGAATAAGGATATTATCTACCACATAGTGTTGTAGTGCAGGTTAAACACAATACACATACATAACACAGAAGCTATCAAGAGAGCTATTACCATTATTTTAAACCACAATTTAGCAAATTCTTCATTGATGTCCATTTAAGTTTTTCTCAAATTTTTTGATGAATAAACCCATAATCAAGTGTTGATTCTGAAAAAGCAAAAACAAAACAAACAAACCCAAACTTTGTGTTTTTTTCTTTCGTAGGAATTTGCACTGTCCACTTTGGGGCCTGCCCTGTCATTTTCTCTTTCCCATCCATCCAGGGGAGGCTCTGCAACAAAAGTGAAGCCTCTCCCCAAGCCCGTTCTGCCGCCTGACAAAAGAGGGCGCCATTGTACTGTTCATAGATGATGCCTTGCGTCGGTAAATGTGGGAACAGTTCTTTAGGAGTAATGCTGATTTTGTAACCATTTTCAGATTCATCCTTACCAATTACAACAAGTTGTCCATCCAGAGCTGGTTTACTTTGCGCCGAGTCGAGATCGTTTCCAACAATTCAATCCAAGCAGTCTTTAACCCAACTGGCATACATGCTCCCTCCGGTTACTCCTACCGCTGCCAACGCGTGGGCAACCTGCCGCGGGACCAGGGCCTCTTGCTGCCTAGCGACACGGATGATGGGTCGAGCCTGTGGGAGGTCACTCTTATTGATTTCCAGGTAATAAACTAAAACCTATGCTCAATGCACCTGCGTTTTTGGTACCAAAGGAGCTCAATGTTTGTTTAAAAACACCTGAAACAAACCTAGATGCTTAAGGAAAAGAGAAGTAGATGCCTTTAAAAGAATATTGGTGGGTTTTTTCCTTTGCCTTTTAAGGTATGAAATGGAATAGGATAGAGAATTTTATCTCCCTGAACCCCCCACCCCCTACCCAAGGCTTGCTTTTGCATTCAGCTTTATCCAGCACTAATAATTATCAGTGAGGAATGCCAGCCATCTAAGCCCTAGCGAAGCTGTGGGTGAAGCCAGGGCCTGACACTTCCTGCAATGAGAGGCCCTTCTGGGGAGAGACATTGGTGGACAATTATTTTATTTCCTTCAGGGAGTGGCACAGTGATCCTATCAGGGGAGATAAGAAGTATATCTGCAGTGTGAATGACAGCTTTGGCAGTTAGTAGGAAGGGACTCGGTGGGGAGTCAAAAATATCCCAAAGATCTTCTTGAAGGTATTTGGAGAAAGGAATGGGGTGTAAGAGATTCCTTTTCACTACCAGAATCTTAGGTTGAGAGACATTCTGTCAAGTTCCTCTATCCTGTTTACCTGTGAATGAAGCTTAGCTTGTTCCTGCCACTCCCTGAAATAGTAGGCAGGGCTTTGCATGTACCTCTCGTGGGCACATTCCAACCTTTTCCAGATATATATGGGCATTCTCGTATGTGCATATTCTTCCCTTCCATCCTTCCCAAGCTTCTGTAGAGAAGTGTGGTGTGGATGAAAGGCAGTTTGGGGTAGGGAAGGAGCTCACATTTTGGAGTCAGGCAGACCTGGTTTCAAATTACTGCTCAGCCACCAGGGCAAGTTACTTAACCTCTCTCAATTTCTCACCTATCTTTGTTAATGTAAGGAATACGTGGCCTAAGGTATGTAGAAACACTCAGTAGTGCGCCAGGCGTGGACTAACAATAATTGCTACATGTGAGTGTCCCGTGTGTGTTGGTGCTGTGGTTGTTATTTTATGTACTTTGTCTTCAGAACTTACCATAATGCTGCAAGGTCCTTTTATGAATGAGGTGACTGAATCTCTGATAATCACATAATTTTTCTAAGGAGTATAACTGATAGAGTTAATGGTAGAGGCATGACTCAAATTCTGGACAGTTTGGTTCCAAGGATTCTTTTGTGTGTGTATGTATAAAATGTTTATAAATATTAATATATATTATGTATGTGTATGTTTATACATGTGTGTATGTGTGTGTATATATATACATATACAGAAATGGCAGTGAGGATACAATGACAACAAGGAATATTTTACAAATAATTTCGCCTAATTAGACCAGGGGAATTGATTGATTTATACTTCTAACTTGTTCCGGAAATGACTTAGTTGACTTATGGAAATACTACTTATGAAAAATTACTTTCAAAAATAGGCAAATCATTTCACAGCCATTAGGATGGCTATTATAAACAACAACAAACAAACAGAAAATAATAAGTGTTGGCAAGGCCAGGGAGAAGTTGGAACTCTTGTGCATTGCTGTTGGGAATGTAAAATGGTGTGGATGCTGTGGCAAATAATATGGAGTTTCCTCAAGAAGTTAAACATACAATCACCAAGGGATCCAGCAACTCTACTTCTGGCTATGTACTCCAAATAATTGAAAGCAGGGACTTGAACAGCTTTCACCTATGTTTATACCTATGTTCATGGCAGCATTTTTCACAATAACCAAAAGGTGCAAGCAACCCGAATGTCTATCAATGGACGAATGGATCGACAAACCTAGTGTATATGTACAGTGGAATATTATTCAGCATTAAAAATGAAGAAAATTTGGGAGTGGTGGCTCATGCCTTTAAACCCAGCACTTAGGGAGGCTGAGGCGGGAGGATCACTCTTGAGCCCAGGAGTTTGAGACCAGCCTAGGCAACATAGTGAGACCCCCATCTCTACAAACAATTTTTAAAAAAGAAATCAACTGGGGGCATAGTGGTATCACCTGTAGTCCCAGTTACTTGGGAGGCTGAGGTGGGAGGATTGCTTGAGCCCAGGAGGTGGAGGCTTCGGTGAGCCAAGATTCTACCACTGCACTCCAACCTGAGTGACAGATGCCTCAAAAAAATTAAATTTAAAAAGAGGAAGGAAATTTGGATACATGCTACAACATAAATGAACGTTGAAGACATTATGTTAAGTGGAATAAGCCAGCCACAACAGAACAAATATTGCATCATTTCACTTATATGAGGTACTTACAGTTGTCAAACCCCGAGATGGAAAGTAGTATAGTAGTTGCCAGGGACTGAAGGGAGGAGGGAATGGGCAGTTAGTATTTAATGGTAGTAATGTTTCAGTATTGCAAGATGTGAAAATGTTCTGGAGATGGACGGCAGCAATGGTTGCACAACAATGTGAATGTACTTAATAGCCCTGAACTGTATACACTTAACATGGTTAGATGATAAATTTTATATCATATATATTTTATAATAAACAATTAAAACAAAAAATTTAGCAAAGACGTGGGCGCAGAGAAAAACAAAGGAAGAAAATGTCAGTTAGAGCCACCAGTGAGGTTAATATACAAAACCACGAGACCATTTGTCTGCACTGACTGGAGGCGGCACAGGAATTTGGCTCTGAAGTTCTGGAGCAGGCAGTATGAGAAACACTCAGTTACATGTTCACAGGGTCCCTAAGGCTGCTGCCAGTGTGCTTGGGATGAGCACATTCATCCCTGGTGGTGTGAGATGTGTACATCCTTATGAGCATTCGTACCATAAACACGGCTTTCAGGGGGACGGGTGGGCCTTGTTGAAACTCCCTTCATGTGAAGAGATGGCAGAACACAAACTCAGTCCAGTGGAGAGGAGGTGGTGGTGATGGTGGCTGAGGTATGTGTACAAAAGGCTGCTGTCCACATGCACAGCTCTGCTGGCCTGGCTTATGGTGGGAATAGAGTGTAGAGCGATGTGGCTGGTGTGGCAAACTCAAGTACCTTGGGTAACTGGTGATTTGGGCTGGGACTGTGGCAAAGGGTAGCCTTCATCACAGCGAGCATTTTACAAATTCAACCGTGCTGATTTTTGCTTTGTAGGAATGCAGGGCTGGTGTTGCTGAATCTTTTCAATAGAAGCTAGATTGGTGGATTCTCACAGGAAATTTTCAGGCTATTCCGAGCACTGCGTCAAACAAAACTCACCTGTGGGCTAGAAACAGCATGTCTGTATAACCTCTAGTCCAGGAAATGGGTGGACAGTGTATCAGGCATTCTCCACACTTACTGTTCTCAACCAAGTCTTGTTAAGAATTAAGTGGCAGTTGGCCGGGTGTGGTGGCTCAGGCTTGTAATCCCAGCACTTTAGGAGGCCAAGATGGGTGGATCACCTGAGGTCAGGAGTTTGAGACTAGCCTGGCCAACATGGTGAAACCCTGCCTCTACTAAAAATACAAAATTTAGCTGGGCATGGTGGCAAGCGTCTGTAATCCCAGCTACTTGGGAGGCTGAGGCAGGAGAATCGCTTGAGCCCTGAAAGTGGAGGTTGCAGTACGCTGAAATCCTGCCATTGCACGCCAGCCTGGGCAACAAGAGCAAAAAAAAAAAAAAAAAAAGAATTAAGTGTCAGTCAACCTGAGGACATTCTCCTTGGCTGGAGTTGCAGAATCAAGTGAGGTCGTCTTTTGTCATGGCGGAGCTCGACTCTTCAGGCACCAGTCTAAAGAGAAGGTCACTCTGCCTCTTCACAGGAGGGGCAGGGCAGGGATCCCCAAAGCCAGAACAAGAGTCCCCTTCAGAAGCTGCTTTGGGTTCTATCAAGAGCACAGACAGTTGGGCGAGCAAGGCCCTTTGCGTCTATGGAGTGATGGGCAGCCTCAATAATTCTAACACACACGGGACAATGCCAAAGTGCTCACTTAAGCCATCAAAGTGAATTTTCAGTAAAGCACTCATGGATAGTTCAGTCATCTGATGTACTCTTTAAAAACTGAGTAGGTGTCTGAATGAGGCAATGCTGTGTAGGGTCATACTTTTAAAGCCAGCTAGACAAGGGACTGTCTTCCACAAGCGATGGCTCTTGTTTTAAAGTAATTGCTTTGTAGCCCTGTTTCATTTTGACAGTGTTAGATATCAGTGCCAGTTCTCAATTTGAACCTCTCTTTCTTTCAAGTAATGATACCATTTCATCTGCACATAATGGAAAGCTTTTCTTTCTATTTGGTTGGTGCAAAAGTGATTGCGGTTTTTGCCATTAAAAGTAATGGGTAGGATGCAAGGAGGGATCCAGAAATGGGACGAAGTCTGTATGGTAAAACCAATAGAGAGACAGGGTAGGGAGGAGGAAGAGAGAGAACCCACCAGGAGCTATGGAGTGCGAGTCTGACGCCTACCGCCCAGGTTTCAATTACACCATCACAACATTTACTGTTGTGTGACTCTAGGCAAGTTACTTAATTTTTCTGTGCCTCAGTTTCCTCATCCATAAAGTAGGAATGAAATAGTAACTTACTCATAGGCTCTTTGCATACTGAAAAAATTAAGGCAGTTTATGGTACACAAAAACCTTTGATAAGTGTTAGCTTTTATGATTATTATTTATCTTTTACCTCATTAAGGATCATGACACCCCCCTTCAAAGACTCTTCCTCATTCCTGTCAATAGAATCAAAGGCACAAAATCTTTCACAAAGTCTTTGTGAAACTTATACTAGCCTTATAAAATTTTGAATGTGCTTTGGATTTTAGAGACAACACAGCAGTTGTGGTTTTTCCATGAATTGGAATATTTCTAAGGATCAGATTAAAAGAGGTTTTCTTGCAGAGCCTTGAAATCAAGGTTTTATTTCAGTCTTGAATTTCATGAGCCTCCTAGTTATGACAACCATACATCCCAGAATTTCTGGGTCAGTCCTGTTTTAAGATTGAGTTGCACTGTCCCCATAAGCACAATCACATTTGTCAAATCGTGTGGTTAAATTATTCAGCAAATAGGGTGACAGTATATGAAATTTGGCTACCTAGGGGCCAGAACTGCCAGCCCAACTGGGAAGTAGATCCTAGGAGAGAAGGGATGTATCACTTCAGCTCCTTCCTTTCTCCTGCAGATCCAAGGTTTTGCCATCAAGGGGGGACGGTTTACGAAGGCCCAAGACTGCGCCTCCTCCTTCTCGCCAGCTATTCTGATTGGCCTGGCAACGTCCCTGATCCTGCTGCTGGTGTTGGCCTACGCCTTGCACATGCTCATCTACCTGCGGTATCTGGACCGGCACTACGATCTCATCGCCTCTCCTGCCCACTTCCCGCAGCTGAAAGCTCGAGACACAGCTGACGAGAAGGAGCTGCTGAGGAGCCAGGGGGCTGAATGCTATGAACTGAGAAGCCAACAGATCAGCAAAATCTATGTTTAGCAGCACAGGCTGGCCCCCACCACGTCCACAGTGGGCTCCGAAAGTTGTTTCTGTTCTACGCTATTTGACTTGTGAATTACAGATTTTCACCAAATGGATTGATTACAAAAGAAAAAAAAAAAAGAAAAAAAAGAAAAAGGAAATATATAATGAATTCTTTTTGAACCATCCTCTGGCCTACGTAGGTAGACTTGGGGCAATGAAAAAAGGCATCTCAGGGACCCCACAAAGACAAATATGACTGTTAGTTGCCTCAAAGTACCCTGAAAACAAAGGAGTATTTCAAGTAGGGAAAAAGAAAGACAAAGAGAGAGAGAGAAAGAAAAAGAAGGAGGAGGAGGAGGAGGGGAGGAAGGGAGGGAGAGATGGAGGGAGAGAGAGAGAAAGATTGGCAACACAGAGAAAGGAAAACACACTCGGTCCTCCTTGCCTGTGCCAGTTTGGATGTGATAATTATAGAAATAATAAACCCAAGATTATCTGGAGGTTCATAATTTAAACTATTTTGTAACATAATTTGCATTTCTAGATATTATGTCCCAATTTTGTTTTAAAAATAGTCTTTTTCTCTTTCACAGAAATGTTGAGGGAGGACTCCAGTCCATGTGGCAGAGCACTTTATTTAAGGACCTTCTTGTCCTTTACTTTGCTGTTCAGAAGCAGTACAGCTCCATCTGTGAAGTAGGGGTAATAGTCTTGGCCATATTTTACCTTTCCATCTGGTCAAGGTGCCAGCGTTGTCTCATTTGTCTGATTTAGACCTCTGTGAGCTCTCATAGGTCCACTTGGAATAAACAATAGAGCGAAGCAATAACAGTGTGCTTGCTATGCAAACACAGCTTTGAGACATATCCCCTGATCTTCCTTCCAATGAGATAGTGTCCTCTAAATGCCTCCTTAATAGAAATTCTAGAGCTACCCCTGATGTTCTTACTGTCACTGTCTTTCATATGCATTCCGCAGCATCCTTTTCAGCTCTTGGCAGATACTGAAGATTGATTCACTCTTCATCCTCACCAAAGCGTCTCTAATAATATGCCTTCTGTCTTAAAGAGATCTTAAATATAAAGATGACATTGCATTTTCCCAGCTAGGGTTCAGTACAGGACCTAGGTTCTACAAGAAGATACTCCTACACAAAACTTAGAATGCAGACGGGAACCATGTGCAGTGGAGGGTCACACACAGAGCAAGAGAATCTTCTGGGCAGCTGTCATGATGGGTCTGCTGTCTAGTCCCATCCTAGTTGGCAAGCAGTAGATGATAATGACAGCGAGTTTTCTGATGGGACAGTCTCATGTTGGGCATTTATTTTGGCTGCAATTTTCTTGGCTGTGAATGTAGGTTTGGTTCTGGCCCTCTCAGAATTCTGTAAGATCCTATACTTTATAGCAAATTTCTTTCTGTTTTAATAACAGAGTTGATTCTGTAGTCTGCAATGAAGAATCCTGATTTATGTAGTTGTTAGTACCAAGAGGATTGCAGGGAACAGACTCAAGAAAATGCGAATCTGTGATTGATTATCCAACTCCATTTGGCTTTAAACCAGTGGAAACTGTCAGCCTTAGAGAATGGTATTCAGTAATCAAACAGATTTTTACTGTGGTTCGCTTGAGCATCCACTGGTGTTATAAGTGGTTGTTTGCTCGGTTACAGGCACTTGAAGGGTAAACATAATGTATTGCTCAAACTAGGACACTTTTGAAAGAGAAAATGGTGTGGTTAACAATTCTCAGATAGCAGACATAAATGGGATGGTGCCAAGGAAACTGGGATAGATAGTCACCATGAGTATGGATGATACCCTGCAGGTTTGGCTGGCTCTTTCTAACTGTGCCCAATGGCTTACAGTCTGGGAAGTTTCTAAGACTGATCTAAAGGGATCCCTTACCTCTTGTCAAAGGGCCAGCATGGTAGAAAATCAGACACAGGTCAGATCCTGCAAACTGCTTACCTGCATTGCAGGTGAAATTCATAGCTTTGCTGGATCTCTTATACGAACACGAGCATAATGATCACAAAACAGAAGAACTCTGACAGGCTAAGAGCAGTGGCTCATGCCTGTAACCTCAGCACTTTGGGAAGCCAAGGCAGGAGGATCGCTTGATGCCAGGAGTTCAAAAAAAATTTTTTTTAAATTAGGTAAGGGTACTGTCGTGCACCTATAGTTCTAGTTACTTAAGAGGCTAAAGCAGGAGCATTGCTTGAGCCCAGGAGTTTGAGGTTGCTGTGGGCTATGATCATGTCACTTCATTCCAGTCTGAGTGACAGAGTGAGACCTTGTCTCTAGAAATAATAAAATAGGCCAGACACAGTGGCTTATGCCTTTAATCCCAGTGTTTTGGGAGGGTGAGGCAGGAGGATCACTTGTGCCCCGGAGTTCGAGATCAGCCTAGGCAACACAGCAAGATCCTGTCTCTAAAAACAACAACAAAAATATTAGCTGGGCATGGTGGCATGAGCGATAGTCCTAGCTACTCAGGAGGCCGAGGCTGGAGGATTACTTGAGTTCAGAAATTTGAGGCTGTGGTAAGCTACGATTGTGCCACTGCATTCCAGCCTGAGTGACACAGTAAGATCCTGTCTCAAAAATAAAATAAAAATAAAAAAAGAGGGGAACGTTGAGAATAGAAATAGTGACTTTTAGGAGGATTTAAATTTTTAAGAATATTAAGCTCCCAAATTCCACTATTTTTTCCTGTTAGTAGAAGCAACGCCTGAGAGACAAAGCTATTCCTGCCTTGCTTGAAGACACTGTGATGACCTCACTAGAAATAGTTGTCTTGCCAGGGGGTGTCAATTTTCCTCATTGCCTTTAGGCAATTAGAGTCACATTCTGGCATATACCAGGGAACCAATTGTAAAGTCAAATCTGTGATAATCAAATTGCAAAAATAGTTTTGCTAACTTATGCCACAAAAGATTTGGGAGATTATGTGTGGTAATGGATTCTGGAGGTGCTAGCCCAGGGAATGAGCTGTATAATTTTAGACTGGGATGAATTTTTTGGATATGGGTTCTCTCACCAGAGATTTTGGATTAAATGTGCTGGTTTGAGCGGCTGGAAGTGTTCCTAACAGTTTTCTCAGTTTGTTGATTAAAACCTAGATTCAACAGTGGCACACACTAAATGAAGTAGAGGGATCAGTCATTTCTTAGTGTTAGAGAAAGAAGAGAAATGCAGTAACTTAAATGATTGGGATGTAGGAATGGATTTATCATGCATGAACTGCTCTCCCTCCCTGTAACTATTTCTCTCTGTAAAGGCCCAGAGGACACTCCCTTTGTCATAGCACTGATAAACACATTGGGAATGTGGCATCAGCACTTTTGAAAAGTGCCCTGGTGGCTGTCCTCTGCAGGCTAGGGTGGAGGTAGATGTTACCTTTGAAACAGAATGCTTAGTTTCCATAGGGATGCTGAGACCCTGGAGTGGTAGAGGGTAAAGATAGAAGCTAAAAGTGGTGTTAGGAGGTTGGCAACCAATTAGCAAATCACAAATGAATGGTAGGTGTCTGATTTGGCGTTGTGAGGATGGTGGTGTCAGGCTCTGCAATCAGTGAGAAAACAGGTGAGGGTGGGAGTGGGTGGCCCCTGCAGTCTCACAGTAGAGGCCTAAGTAGGCAATTGGTCATGTGGATCTGGGGACAAAGAGAGAGATCTGGACCAGAAACAGAAATTTAGAAATGTAGCAGATGCTGTCAGTGTTCCACCCACATTGCTTTGGCACTTACCATTTTGGTGTGTTCTGGCACATCTTTCCATTGCCAACAACTGTCCTCAGGGGCTTCTCTACCTATGGTCATGGCAGGCTGGAAGGGGTAAGGAATTAATGCTTTCTGGGAGTAGCCCTCAACCAATGACTCAGGGATTGTGTACAAACGCCACAGCTCGTTTGTTCTTTGCCTGGGAAAACTCTAGAGTATGTTTTATGCTGTTCCCTGGAGCTTCCCAGCAGGACTAAGCCCTTTCGCCCATTGTGGAATCTTGCTTAATAATGTTTACTTTATGGGCTCCTTCCTCTTTCCTGTCTCCCTTCCCCACTCCCCTAATGGCGTTTCCAAGTATCATTGCCAAAACAAACTATTTGCATCTACATCCCTGTTTCAGGATCTACTTCTAGGGAAACCCAAATGAAGACAAGTAGTAATGGGCCTATGGGGAAAGTTGAAAACTAGGTGGTATTGGTGAAGAAATAAATGAGATCACCTGAGAAGAAAGGATAGGTTGATAACAGACCCCTGGGGACACTATCATTTATGCAGTAGGACGAGAAAGACCAATCTGTAGATTTAGAGTAGGAGAAATCAGAGAGGAAGAGAGCAAACCAAGAAAGAGTAGTGTCCCAGAAATCAAAGAAAAACAGGCTTTCAAGATGAGGGAAGTAGAAACCATGTCAAATGCCGGAGAGAGAGCAAGTGAGAAAAGAACTAAGGAGTGTTTATTTCCGGCATTTGCCCAAAAGGAAGTCCTTGATGAACATCACACTTCATGGAAAAGAGCGAGTAGAGGGAGCTCAGGATATTTATCCCCTGGGGATCTCCCAGAGGGAATGTTTTCGACTGGGTTTCATCCCTTCTCTGACGTTCACTGCTCCTTTCAAGACAGCCCCCTCCACATTCTCTCCTTCTGTGTTTCAGTGACTTCTTCCCTTGTTGCTTTCGACTCAGGGATGGTTACTCCATTGCTACTAGCCCCAGGTCACTACACTCTCCCTTGTGGTTCTCCTGTACCCTACTGGGACCCTTATAAAAGGTTCTTGTTTAACTAAACCCCACTTAAATTGTCCTAATTTGAGGGTGCCATCTGTTTCCTATTGGAAGCAGACTTACACAGGGGTTTAGACACTAAAATTTATTTGTTGCTTTGTTTTATATCTAGCAGTTTCAGAGTTTTTCGGAAAGGATTTAAGGCAACCATTCTAATAAGATTTTAATAAGATGGAAGAAACTTGAGCATATCGTAGGGTAAGGCATTAGTGATGAGGTGTTTGTTTTGCCTGCTGCAACATTATGAATAATGCGGTTCACATGTGTAATACACTCCCGCAGAATGCCCACACATTGTTACCCTGTATCCCAATTTTCGGGCTTTACAGCATTCTGTTCCTTTGAGATCCCTGGTGCATAAATGTCCATGGGTAACTGAGATAGGCTGTGGGCTATGGACAATTCCCAGATAGCAAACTAGAGCTTTCTTACTCAAAAAAGCATTGCGGAATGTGAGAGTGATATTACAGAGCAGCTCTGGAATACTCTCTATATAAACAGTGTGAGAAATCAGTGCTAACAAGCCACACGGTGTTGCACCCCACCAGGCTGCCTGCCTCTGCAGTTGGGAGCCCGTGTGCTGGTTGGAGGAACTGGGGAACAGGGGAAGGTTAAACAAATATATACTAGAGACGGAAGAAAATTGGTGGAGCTAGGTCCTCAGAGGAACCAGGGTGTTACAGGATCCCCTTCTTAGGGGCGGGTGAGGAACAGCCACTTGCCCTTCCTCAGAGGACACAGAGAAGGCTCACAATCTTCTAGGCAGCATACTGAGCAGCCGTCCTTCTGCCTGTGTCCCTGCCTGTGCCTTCTCCGCCCTCATACCTCAAGGTCATGATGAATGAATCGACCCAACATTTCTGTGTAACTCATTGAGATGACCTGCCTTTATTTCATATTTCTTTCAGTGTGATAGAACTTGCAGTGTTTCTGTGTGATGCTGTTAGCTCCTGAGATCAACAACATTTTATAGGAACCAAATGGTCCAGAGCAAAACCTCTAGTTCCAAAGAATTGGAATTTAAAATGCGGTTTGAACCTTCTGAAATGTTTATTAAGGAAAAATAGGGCAAATGTAGGTGATCAAATTAGTTGTTATATTTGCAATACATGTAACTCTGATGCTGGCTACCCAGATGTTCCCAAATCCTCTGACCTTCTGTGTCAACCTTTAGTTTACTCTCCTATAAAGTGGCTTGAGCCCCTTTCATGTGAGAAATAAGTCTGTTCCCCATCGTAGCTGGGCATCAGCAGGAGGGTGGGCCGGGTGTGCGTGGCGGTGACTCACATTCTCACTGTGCCTTCTGGTTCTGATTTCCTGCCTCTGGTGGTTCTCAGTTACTTCGCTGGTGGCTTCACCTTCTCCCCTGGCTCTCAGTTATGAGAGCAGCTGCCTCACGTTGGCATGAGTATCACCGATTTTCCTAAACATTGGGGAATTAATAGAATAATTATGGCCTAAGGCAGGAAATCATTCCCAATTCTCTTTTCGTGGACATTTAATGCTAATCCCTCTCAGAGAACTTCTCACTGGCCATGCTCATCTCTTGGCCCTGAACTTTCACCCTTTTGAGGACTTCTCTTTTTCTTTCCCCAAATTCTTTATGCATCCCCCCAGTCTCAGAGACCTAAAAACCTTCTCTTCCCAGCCCACCGTCAAGAGGCTTGCAAATCCTCTTTCTTTATCATGTCGAACGCTTTGATTCTTCTTTATTGGAACTCTGTTATGTAGGTTGAACTCTAAGAATCTCACCTTTCACAACCAACATGCTCGGTATGGAATTGTTCTTAAAGAAAAGAGCCTTTCTCCATCATGAGAAAGTTTTTTTTCTTGCCACCTAGCTCGAACT